AGTATGATTAACTTCACAGAAAGAAAGAAAAAAAAGAGAACACCTTATTGCATCAAAGATTTAAGTAAACAGATGGAGAATGAGTGATTTCTTCGCATGTGACCATTTTTGGTTTACACAGGGATCTTTCTTCTTTGCAAGTGGAGGGAGGAATGAGTTTACCTGGGTAAAAAGTAGTGATCCACAAGACCAAAAAGGGTTCAAGAACTTTACATCAGTTCATTTTTGTCTTTTTTATCAAGTTTGATAAAACTATAATTACCTAAAAAAGGAATCATGTATTGTGTGCACTCTTTTGAGTGAGACCTTTTCACAGTAGGCCTATCTTCCTCCTCTTAGTTCACAGGAAGAGGAGAAAAGAAGGAAAAAGAAGAAGCACCACAAAAGAGGAGGGGGATAATATATTTTACAATAGTTAGAAAAAGAAGGGAAAAAAATGACTTTTGGGCTTCATCTGATTCTTATTCAGATAGCTCTCTCGTTTTAGCTCACACAATGGAAGTAATCTCACTATCTTTTCTGCTGACTTTGAGGCAGAGGTTGTACCAGCCAAGGCAGAAGGATAGTAACTTCTAAAGACTCTACAGCAATTCTTCCAGGTGTAATTTTAGCTGTTCCCCCTTCCTCCACCAAGATAGCACCAAAGTAGTAGTTGCTTGAATTTGCAGCCTTTCTAATAACCCGTAGTGCTTGGGTGAGATTACTTTTATATATACTTTGTATTACTCTTTGTTGGAGTGTTTATATGTACTACAGAACTGATATTTTAAAATATATTTTGCATTAAGATTTGTTTAAGTTGTGCATGTTTAGGCAAAATTTCACTATTAAGTACTACTGCCACATTTCTCATAAAAATATGTAGAAGTGGGGTATTTGTATAGTTAATACATACTTGCTATTGAAATAGATTTTCCATTATTTACCTCACTGTTTAATTAGGAAGTCCTGAGTCAGTGGGATAGCTTCTGAGTGAATGGGACTGTAAGACCAAACTAACTTGTGAAGAAAATAGTATTCTTTTGGCAGAGGCAGCCATTCGCATTAGCAGTTCTGCTTTATGATGGTACTCCCTTACTGGTATTTGCAACTGTCTGCCTATGAAATGTGATGCAATTTTGTTGGACAGGTGCAAGCAGCAGAATTGTGGCTGTGAATTACACTTTTTATGAAAAAATTGAGCCACTCATATAAATGTTTCAGTACTCTGCTCAGAAAACCCTTGCATGAATGGCAAGATATATCTAATGTTACACGTTGTGGTCGTATCACTTTAGATACGCTTTTTCTGGGAAGATTACTATATTATCTGTGCTTTAAGAAGAAGGCGGTTTGTACATAAACAAAAATTTGTTTTCTGTACATTCAGTTCCCTTTTTTAGGAGACATGTAACAAAAAGATGTTCTATATTCCACACTTTCTTGCATATTTTATCATATAAAATCATATAAAAATTCTCTGCAAGAATTCCTACTTTGCACATGTTGTTCTGTCACAGAGAAGATGGGAGAGAGTCATCACAGATGACAGATGTCAACCATGTTGTTTAATACAGTAGTTGAAAATTTAGGTACAACAATGGTAAACACTATTAAAATTCCTCTATTGCATAAGGTGGAATATAATCTATGTTAGAGTTCTAAATTAGGTGGGAAAACTGATAGGAGTGTCTTTTTTTTTTTCTTTATTACTATTTTAGAGACATATTACTATGTATCTCCTTTGGTTGGTGCCTTTTTTTTGGCTCTGACTCCTATGGGGATTGTCATAGCTGCCAAACACCCAGCAACCAGAACTGTTCTCCATTCAGGATGGGAGCCTGTTATAACTGCTATGATTATAAGCAGGTAAGTCTATTTGTCTTGCTTTGTCTAGATAGTCACCCTGTTTCTCTGTATATCGTATTTAACTCCTAAGTGTGTTTAAAAGAAACGTTTAAGGACTCTCTGGAGTGTGGAGCGCAGATAAACATTAATCTTCAAAAAAGTCGGAAATTATGAAGTTTAGTTCCAGGTAGGAATGAGTGGGGGAGCTAGCAGTAGCCTGTGCAAGTGACTGAACAGAGTAGCACCGTCTCGGATGAAGGAAATGTTGAGCTGTTAATCTCTTGCAGTTTTAAGTCAAGACCACATGCTGATCTAAGAGATGTGATTTAGTCAAATGAAAGTCACGAGTCTTAAAAGTTGAGTGCTTGAAATTCTATGGTCTTTGGTATACAAAACAATTTTAGTATATAAATCAGTAACTATATCAAGACAAAGAACAAAGAGCATGCCATTGTTTGTGCTACATTCAATAGACTTGCAAGACGAATGGTTGACTGACTTCAGTTGTGGTCTCTGTGGGGAAGGTTAGCCTCCGTAAGCTTTGGGGCTTTAACTGTAACATAAAACAAGATGCATATCTTGGTTCCATGGGAGACTAAGCTTGTCTTATTTAGCACTGAATTTTGTAGGTCTGCTTGCATCAATTTTTGTCTGTTATGGTATTTTTGCTAAAGATGTAGTGTGGCTGGAATAGGTGATCCTGACCTTTAGAGGCTGAGGAGGGAGTGCATAAGAACAAGGTAAAGGGGTGGTAACAGGTTGCGTAACTGAAGTAGTTCTGTGAGTTTGACTTTGTTTTAGGTGCTGATAATTCCTGTTTGTTATGCTTTAATTCTAAGTTTTGTCTCAGCAATGAAGTGTTAGAGCTTTTTCCACAGTGTTTGGTGTTTTTTCAGAGTATCTTTATGTGTTACTAGGGTTTTAGGCCAGACGTAAGGTTGACCTGCTTGAGCACTGCATATTTTATGATTATCTTTTACTGTTCCTCAGCAGTTTAAGTTTAGCTATTTTTCATGATCAAGAAGGGGACAAGTCACCAGTTGATTTTAATGCTGTTTTAACAAAGCTTTGGAATATATAGCTTCCTTACTTGAAATAAATAAATTTCTCAGCACTCTCGCGCACTTCATGAGCTTTTTGCTTTCTTAATCTAAATTAAGGATTAAGAATTTGCTCATACTATTAGGAAAGGATTTGTGAACAGCTCATACTTGGGGTAGAAATGATCCTTTTTTGTTTTTATTTACATAGTGCATAACAAAGGCGTCTACATTTCATGGCTGCAGCTCCTATGAATGATCATAGAAAATAAAATAATAACATACCTTGCCACTTAATGGAAAAATAGAGCAAAATCATCATATTTGTATTCCTGGATATTTACAGATGTGTACTAGAGTTTTAATTTCACAGTGGGTGCTATCATCACATACTAACATTTTCATTATTAGTTACTAAATAAGTTAATTTATAATTCAAGCACTGTATGTGCTTGGGCATTGGCTTTTTATAGGGGAAGTTTTAGTGACTCCTGTATTTTAAAGCTTCATCATCCTAGTGCATATGCATTTATGATTACTTACAACTTTGTCAAACATAGATTATTGGCAGTGATTTTTATGTACTTAATTTGTACCTCATGTTTAATATTTGTTTAACTCACGTAAAAATACTAATCTGCAGGTCAGAACAGAGGCAGTTGGAGAAAAAAAGGTAAATTGAGAAGAGTGACTTTAGAAGATGTGCAAACTTTGATAATGCTAAATAAGATGTGAAACACTAATTAGTGTATCTGCTTGCCTTATTCTAAATGTTATATTTTGTTTTTCAGTATTGGTGGCCTTATTCTGGACACAACTGTATCAGATCCTAATTTGGTTGGAATTGTTGTTTATACTCCAGTAATTAATGGTAAGACTATGATTATTTGCAACGGTATGTTCATACATCTTGGTTTAATAGAAATCTATTACACTAAATTTCTGTTATGCAAATTAATATCTATCTGATATATTCTTTTATTTCGATGTCAACACTTGTGAATTTAAACACCTAAGGAGTGCTTCCTGATCTCATTTATTATGAACCTTAGAGCATGACAGCGAATGTGAGAAATAGGAGCCTAAAGTGTGCAGTGACAAAACAAAAGGGTAACAACTGAAAAAAAGGTATATTTTAATATTACATTGAAACTCTTTTGGCTGAGGAGGATGAAGATAAAATTTTTTTTCGAAAGATCTCCCTTTGAACATCCAAAGGCAAGTTTTAAAAATGGCAGTTTAAATTACTTATAGTATGTGTAGATATAAGAATTAACAGGGATGCTACAGGCGAATAGATAGATTTCTCAAGAAAAGTATGTGTTGATTCCTGGCTTGTTATGTAGTTTCCAGGTGTGTATTTGTGAAAATTTGGTCCATAAATTTGTGTGTTTGATTGTCTAAGGATATCAGCAGGGCAAAATTTATAAGAAGAGTTAATATCTTATTACACCAATGCAGTTTGAAAAAGCAAACTTTTAGCTTTTTTTGATACAGTATCACCCTTTTGATTCACATTTAGTTTGTGATAATTACAGTTACCAGAACTTTTCTTGCTATATTGCTACATAGCTTTTTTTCCCCCCTTTTGTAGTTCTCCATTTGATTTCTCACATTATTTTGCCCTTGTTTGTATTGTTGATTTCAAACCATTTTTCCAATTATCAAGATGATTTTGACTTCTTATTTTGCCTTACAAAGTGCTTTTGATTTCTCTTAACTTGGCCTTTGCAAATTCTATGTGACTTCCAAGCTATCAATTACATGACTTATGACCACTCGCTATTCTCTTCTACTTCGACAGTAAAATGTTAATATTGATCCTACATTTTAGTTTTGAAACACATCACCCCAGTGTGGTCTGTTTCCAGAGGTTGCTAAAGAAATTGTGGTGTGAGATAGCATCAAAAAGTTTTGCTAAGCTTTGTTGCAGTCAAGATTTAGCATATCTATTGCAGTGTCCATAGGCAAGCTGTCGTGTCAGAGGAGAAAGTGATATTGTTTTGACACGAACATGTTCTTGAAAAATTCATGTTAGCCGTAGTTTTACCACTTTTTATATCTTCTAGGTGCTTCTACATGATCTGTTTAATAATTTATTCTAATACTAATCTAGGAATAGATATTGGACTAACATATAGATTCCCCAGGTCATCCTTTTTGGCCTATTTAAAGTAATATTTTCTGTTTTCCCTTTTATAGCCCTTGGGTATTCTCTAACCTCAAAGATAATCAGTTTGCAAAGATAATCACTGATAATTCAGGAATCAGGAATTGTTCATCTAGCTCTCTAAGGATGTTCTAAGTTAAATTTATCCTCAGGCCCTATAGACTTAATATTTTTAAGTTTGTGATCACAGATCTCCGTTTTTACAAAGGTGGTAGCAAAAGGAACTGAGTATTTCTGTATTCCATATAGCATATTTTTTGTCTTACTTTAATGTGAAGCATTTCTTTGTTGTTGCTTATGTTCCTTGCTAACCATAAATTCATTTTTGCAGTTCAGCCTTTATGCTTCTGTGCTTGTGCCTTTCCTTTGTATTCATTCTAACTTGCTAATCTTTTTATCTACATTTTGATTTTGAGATACCTAAAGAGCAGTGTAGCCATGTTGATCTTCAACTATATTCTGCTTTACATCAGGAAGCTTTCTCATAAGAGATCCTCTTCCTAAGAGAATCTAGGTGCCAATTGTCTGAGCTTATTGATGACTAGAGTTTGGGGCTTGTGTTTTTTTAATCCATTAATCTTATTCTAGTGATCCACTTCTTTTTTTCTTTTAATAGTGAACTCTGTTTGATATTTGCTTTCACTAAATTGTTCTTTATAAGCAGTTCTTCCTTATTAGCTAATTTGGGGCCTAAAACAGTTGTTTCCTATGGTAACTTTCTCCACCTAGTAGAAACGAAAGTTTTGCTTCAGAGAGAAAAACATGACAGAGTGCTTCTCTCTTTCTGAGTTGTTTTTCCAGTGGATGTCCCTTTCCCACCTAGTTTAAAGCTTTCTTTAATGAACTGAAAATCAGTAATCAAGAATGCCCTTCTTTTTAGGCAGGTTACACCTAAAACTCTTACCAGTAGTCCTGCTTTCTTAGACGTCATCTCTTGATTACAAAAGGAAACAACTGCCTGGCAATTCTGTTTGCTTCTGTTTCCGAGTAGGCACCTATCTTTGCTTCAGTGTACTGTACCAGAATACTTCTAGATTTTCTCTATAGACTTACTTACTCTAGACTTGCCAGTTACCATGGTGCAGGTTTCTTCTCCCGAGGCCTTATGCTCCTACCAGATGTTACGGACTGCTGTTGTGAATGGAACTATGCATCTTGTTCAAGGTATTTTTTTCCCACAGAAATTGGCTGTGAAACCCATATTGCCTGTGTGTTTACATTTTACCTTTTTAATATTTTTGGCTAATGACTGGACTTAAATAAATCATTTTAATTGCTAAGAATGACAGTTTACTATAAACATGCCTCTAGAGAACAGGTTAAATATACCACTTCGTTTCTTGGGGTTTTTTTTCCAGACATTTACCAATAGAAGTAAGAGACTGTGCATACATTCTTTTGAACTATCTTTAGACAAAAAGACTGAGCCAATGGTGTTATCCAGAATAATACCTAGCCAAATCAAGTTTATATGCAATAAGGCATTACTGAGGGGTTAGAGAGGAGAAATGCACAGACTTTGTGGGGAAAACACACACTCAGACACATAAATATATGTGTGCTGTTATACACAGCCTTGGGTGATTAGGTGGTAGGTCAAGATCCTTGAAGAATCAGGCAGGTGGAGAGAGAATACCTGGGGCTATTGGAGCAGACAGGGGAAGAGAGAGTCCATAAGGAGGGCAGGGAGAGTAGCAGGTAGGCTTATAGCTCTGACAGTCCCACGGTGGTTCTGCAGTGATGATTTCTGTGATGGTTTGTACCACCCTCACTCAAAATACTGCCTTTTTATAAGACGTTCTGTATTTCTAGACTGTTCGTAGTCTTTGCCCCGGTCTACTGTGCAATGCCTGATGGTGTTATTTTTCCAGGTCACATTAGGTGCCTTACCTGTTCTTCATCTGGGTTTTTATTGCTTAGCTACTTCTTTTCCTGTTATATTTTCTTGTTATGTTAGTCTTTCCCCCAGCTCTATAGGTTTAAACTTCTTCAGTAACCAGGAATGGGCTATCAGGGAGTTGTTTATAGTCCTGTGCCCATATTTTCAAGGCCTTTGCTATTATCCCACACTTAAACTCCAAGAAAACCGCAAGAAAACCCTAACAAAAACCAAGCTCCATTTTACACAGCAAATTCTCATAACAAATTGATAACAAGTCTAATAGGCCAAAACTAGGGCCTTGCGAAGTTTGCGTAATTACGAATTAATTTGCGAATTAACGTTAAGGCCTGTGGCTTGATGCTAGAGAGAGCAGTGCTGCTTTTGCTAGGCCACCGGCAACAATAGGAGCATTAAGGAAATCTCTTTTTTCCTCATTTACGAATGAGTAGATGGGAGCAACGTGTGAGTGTTGTTGTATGTGCCTGTGCTAACCCCTCAAACCTCAGAACTGTAAAGACAGAGGCATTTCTACTGGAAAATTTCAAGTAAATATTTTCTGTGTAGAGAATGCAGAAGGTGCCTGTTTTATGATACACCTCTTGAGAAAGGAAATTGTAGGTAAGTAATTTTTTTGGTTGCTGTTATAGATGAGACTCTCCCGGGTTTCATAATTCTGCTGGCACCTCTTGATATTGCTGGTCAGCATAGTGTAGTAAACTGGAATTTAGGAAATCTTTCAATTAAAAAAGCACATCTGCTGACACTCATTTACTGATATAAAAGGTGTGTTAGACCACTTAACAGATGGCTTTTTTAAATATTATTGTTGCAGAAGGCTTTCCCTACCAGTACTTTCCTGCCCTGAGAAATCTCATTGTAAGCATAAATAGTGAAGGTAGCTGAGGGGTTTCCCCCTCAAAAGGCTCTTCAGATGCCTTTTCCTTTCTCTTTAAAGTTGGTTGCTCCTGTGCCCCAGGAAACCACCAGGGAAACCTGAAGGAAAGGTCGTAGCCTGTTGAAATTTTGTCCAGTCAAAAGCTGCCGCACTGTAAATTTGTGCAGGATTTCAAACTGTCTGTTTTTTTAGTGCCCATTGTTGGATAGCTAGAAATCCAGGATCATATATATTGTAAAGTTGTCAGGTATCGGGCCTACTGTGTGTGCCGTTAAATGGCTTTTGGACCTAGCTGTGTAGGTGGTTTGTACATTCTTAGATGTGGGAGAAGTTACTTTCATCACATATGGTACAGCATGGAGCCATGCACCTTTTCATTTAAGAAATATTGGTCTGGAATTTGAGCAGCCTCAAAGGTTCCTACCCCTATTAACAATAACTGCAAATATTTGCCAAGAATATTAAAATAGTTCTTAACCAGAGAGGCATGTATAGTCAACTTTACTGCTGGTGGCTTTACTGCCAGAAGTATTTTAAAACTGTTTTTCCATCTTTCCCTGTTAAGCATATTTCTTGAGATGAATAATTATTTTTAATTCTGTGGTTGGTTGGATTAAATTGTCACTCTGCTTTCTAAATATAAACGAATCATTTTGTGGTCTCAGCCTTTGTTGTACTTACAGACTACTTGAGATTTAGATTTTTCTCTTTTTCATGTATTGAAGTTCTGAATGAAATAACTAAACCCAAGTGTGGCTGTGCTTCAGCCTCAGTACTCAATACAAGTTGATTTTTGTGTTTTGTAATGGCCGAGTTGATTAAAATTTGCAAATCCTCTTACAGCATCACAGCATGTTGAATTTGGCTCAGGAATTGCAATTGGCAAGTAACAGAGTTCCTTTTGTGCGGAAAAAGATAATGTTT